ATTTCCTCTCTGAATTTTCTGAATTATAGTTTAATATTGTAATACCAAATTGCTACTTTGCTTAAGTATTAAGAATAAAATAAAATTTCTGAAAGTGCAAGGAGTCAATCTAACGACTTCAGAAATTTGAAGTTTCAATAACTTCGGGATTAAATGAGATTTTTATTAGCTCTGAATTTCGCTTTTTTTTTTTTTTAATTCGCAACATTGATTTTCATCAACAAAAATTCAATTTTATTAAAATGGAAAATAGTTCGAAGTATAATACATTGCTTTCTTATTTTAAAAATGAACTTTATGTCTAATCATGTTATGAGGAAACGAACTACGCACGCTAACTCGATATTCCAGCCTACATTTTGCACCCATTCTAATTTAATGTTAATAGCAATATTGCCATAAAATTTTTAATTGATACAAATAACAGTTCAATGGTAATTGATTAAACTGAATTCCTAATAGCTCATGATCGTTTGGATGAACCGGTAATATCGAAATGCTGATGCGATGTCTGTTTTCGCTAGCAAACAATTTTTTCCAATTTTTTTGATAAGTTTAATTGCATCATCAATTGTTGTATAAGATACTGAGCATAGATCATCAGGGATAAAATCATTCACAGAACCCCCTTCAGGGTAAGATAAGTGGTGAATAAGGCGAAATTCATTTCTTTCTTTGGGACAAGGCCAATAGGGGAACATTGAAGATTTTCAAATGGGGGTACCTCAAATGGACCTTCAATCCTACCAAGAGAAATTTCTTTCTGCAGTTTTAGTGCTACAATATCTTCATGTTCTTTTACCGAAAGTAAATTAGATGAACGCCTTGACTGTCTCGGCCCATTATATTGAAGACGAAAACCTTCCCCAAAACCCTTACATAAAAATGTTTTTAAATCTTCATCATACCCATTAAGAAAGTGCTCTAGGGTTAACACTCTTACGGGAGTGACAATTAATCTATTTGCTTGTACTGGTGGGTTCTTTTTGTCTGGTTTGGGACCCTCGGCCAGTGGTTTGCGATTGATCTCCCCATGTGCAGAAAAGCACTGAGTGTGGCTTTCTGCACTGAGGACAAAGGTGCTTGTATTGACAGTTCTGGGATGCGCAACGTCCCGTTTTGTGGAAAGCATAACAATATCCCTGGGGTATTCTCTTGCCTTTATAGCCCCCCCCCTTTGTTTTTGGAATTGGTATCGGCCACGAAAATTATGTGTCTGATTGCCATAATTAGATTGTCGTGATGTGGTGGCCAGCACCCAGTAGTGCAGTTGCCCCCATGGAATTGACATTGATTATATGTCCTTGCGGACTTGCCTATCATATGATAACCATGCCAAACCTGTGCGTCTGCTGGATAGCTCGCGCACTATTTCACCATGTTTGATGACCGCTGGTACCAAGTTGGGGAATTTCTCAGAGTAAATGGCCAAAAATTTTTAAAATGCTGTGGTCCACTGATCAATAGATTTAAAGGTCAAGTACGGTAAAAACAGATCTTAAAAATAATGTTTATAATTCATTAAAAGCAGTAAATGGAAGTTTATGGTGTGTTTGTTTTAAAAAAAAATCCAGATATAGACGCAAAATACATGTTCAAATATCGTTATTTATAGACATGGGCGATAGCGTTATCGCTCTTTTTCATGAACGTCATCAGAGACAATTGCTGTAAATTGGCGCTATTCTATAAACAGCCAATAACTGAATAAAATGAATAGTTTTAACGCTGAACCGTGTTATTGACGGTAAACTCGAAGACAAACTTGAGTTTACAGATTCAAACAATTAAGTTTGAGCCCATTACGAAGCAATCAGAATATGTAAGGCCTGCCTACATGGATATGTCACCGAAGTTAAAATCCGAGAATAAAGAAAGTAAATCGGGAAAATCTCCAAGAAGCAATGATTTGTTGTATTTTTTTTGTATTGAAAATAAATTAAAAACAGATATTCAAAAACGTTCAACATGAAAATCGAAACTTTAGCGCATTATTTGCATCTATGTAGAATACATTGTTTTGTTCGTTAGATTACTTATTAATAAACCAGTAGACTCGATGAGTATTGATAGTCAGCTGTGAAACCATGTAAACAATTATTAGCAAAGTTAAAAGTGATCAGCAAATAACTCTGTTGCCGCTTGTGGTTGCTTCAAATCGTACCCCCCCCCCCCATTTCAATCAAAATTATGAAAAAAAACCCTAAATATTCAGCATGCGAACATGTCTCATTTTTAAATAAAAAGGAAAATTGGAAATTAATTTCCGAAATCTAAATAAAAGAACAAGAGAATCCTGCTATTGAAATTACGATGGCCGTTCAAAAATTACGTGGACTGGTTGCACAGAAAAAAATATTTGATGGCATAATCAGGCAAAATTTCACATTTAACATAAACGATTCTTTACCTATATGGTCTTCAAAATTTCATATCAAAATGTTGTAAATTGGTATCAATTTTTGGTGATTTATCAAGACATATTATGAAGCCACGGAGCAGCAAAATCTTCGTCGTCAGGGCATTAAAAAAATAGCTTTCATTTTCTCAGCATTTTCCCAAGAGTTCCTGTTAAGCTTAAGGTACAGCGTGACATTGTTCACTATATTTTTACGGTCCGGATAAAGTTTTTGCACATGCGCCTTAAGTATGGATCGATACCCCCCCCCTCTTTTTTTAATAAAAAAAAATTGAAAGAGCGTAAAATATCTCAAAATTATAAAACTTCCCTGTCAATCACATCTATATGTCGTTCTATGCAAGCATATACTGCGTTTTTCAGTTTAGAGAATGGTCATACGTCAGGCGCCTGTTGGTTTATTCCACACCATTACTAGTCCCTCAGCTCCAGTCTCATCATATATAGAAACCTATAACTATGCACAATCCTGCAGAGGATAACTTCACATAGAGAACTATGAATAAACCTTTCTCGTGACTTTATGTCCTTAATTTCAATATAGATTCTCATGCCTCCCCCTCTCCATCTTTTCATAAAACAAAACACAAAAAAAAAAAAAAAAACAAAACAAAACGTAATTTTACTTGTACTTTGACGACATTGTAAGTGAATTTTATGGTTTTGAACACATACTCTGTGCAATCGCCATTTTCACAATATAAAGAGTTTGTGACTTCGGAAGATGTACATGTAGCGGTAATGAGCACCCGACAGATGAAATGCAGCCATAGTCGTGAGATGGAATTTGTTGGAATGTAGCGATTTTATTGAACTCCTGTGTCTTATCTCTGTTTGAGTGTTTTGAAAAATAAGATGAGACAGAGTAAATATGTTATAATTTTTAAGACAAAATCCAAGTTAACTAAAAAAAAATAATATATATGCTAGTATTTTAAGACGACAATCCTCTGAGTCTCTCTGCATTTTTTTTCAGTGCAAACTCAATAACTCTCCACTTCCCCGGTATGCCGGTCCCATACAAAAAAAAAAAATCCGTATAAAATTAATTGATCTGGTTTGAAATAATAAATGCGTATGGTCACTATATTTTCCAGATACGTGTGTATTTTTTTTTTCTCTACTTGCTTACAGATAAATTAACTAAATATTATAAATTCATGTATTGAAATTTTGCGGATGTTTGTTTATGCGCTGTACACAGACGATGTGGTACAGTCCTATTAACAGTAACGACTCGGTTTCTAGTTACGTCTTACTCACAACCCACATCTTTGAATTTTCAAATTTTCTTTGTTGTTGTTTAATTTGTATTTCCAAGCTTTTTAAATAGGTGATATCAAAATTTCCAAAAATGAGTGGTACAGGTACAGAGCTGTCAAAAACAAGACCCCCCCTCTATTTTCCTAGTTTCGAATCAACTTTTCAGTATCGAATCAGGTGCCTTCTATTGTTGCCGACTTAATAAATAAAACCAGTTGGTCAAAATTATTGTCGAAATATATACCTTAAAGAAGATTCTACATAAAGTATATCAGTATTACTTGTTGATTGAAATGATTTTCTAAAACTAAACAATATGAAAAATGTAGTATTTATTGAGAAACTTTTAGTGAAATGGGTTATTAGAATTAAATCAACCTTCTCTGAGACATAATTATCATGGGATATTTTTGTTTGTAAATTGTTTTGATAGTATTTACACCTCTGTCAGCTTTTCTTGTTTTTGCATCCCGTGAAACGGCATTTTTCGTTCTTCGAAAATCCGTGATTCGTAACTAAGAAAACAACACCTGGTAAGTTTGGATGTTAAAATTTCTTTCATAAGTCATTTATTGTTTCATTTGATATTCTGTCATGTTATATTTATACTAAAAATTGATTACATGCTCAATCTGGATCGAAAAATATAGGAAAAAATTATTTAGACGAATTTGTTTACACACTCGTTTTCTTTTACTTGCACTTCCGCGTAGGTCATTGTTTCAAATTGTAAATACTGTGGGAAATAATCATGCAGATAATACAAAAACACAACACAGGGATTGAATAATCATCCTTTTATTGTACATGTATTTACCCTGTGATATTTTTTTAACCCGTCTCTATGTTTTTCTAGAAAATTTAAATAAAAAAAATATTCGATCTGGCAAATACTCGTTACCGGTCAAACGACTGTATACTGTGTACTCAACCTCTTTTGGGTCGCTCGAGAAAAGAAATAAACTTGACATCTGTATTAATTTTACATAACAATTCAAAACTGCGCACTGCACCATAATCCTAGAAAGAGTTTTTGAAAAGCACTTGTAAACAACGAGTAAACACCTAATCTGTCTTTCTCTCGCTCAGTTGCTGCAGTCAAAATTTGTCTCTGATGACGTAATACGTTATGGGCGATAACTCGCGTCACTAAAAAATATTGATAGCCCAGGTAAATTTTAATCGCGCAGCAGAAGTCATAGCAGGCGGTTTTCAATTAAACAGCTATGGGAATTTAAATCATATGAGACCGGCAGACAATTATGTATATATTATTCCAATTTTACAAAATTCTCCGTACTTGACCTTTAATGGCTGTTTTTGATTTTGAGGTCAGACACTTAAATTCTGATTTTCCCATGCTTTGCAAGTGTACTGACTTATCCCTACTAAAATCATCTTTTGGTATTAATTTTGCAAAGTCAAAGTACTTATTTTGCTATATTTTGTTTTTGAGTTAACTATCGACTTGAGAAGAAATTGGAGATGATAAGAGCTGTTGCTCATCATCTGAATCACTCTCCTCACTGGATGAGCTGTCCTCTGAGTCATTATCCGACTTATCTCCATCTGAACTAGAGTCTAACATGCTACCTGAAGAGGACCGTCTTCTACGTTTCCTTCCTCTCGAGCTTCTTTGGCGTTCACGTCCTCTTTCCTCCCCAGATTGACCACCAGCCGACTGTTCGCGGATTGCCTTTAGGACTTGCTCCGTTACAGCTGCTACTAGCTGCGGCTGTAAGGTATCTGAAGCGTCCTGCTGAGCCACCTGTTCAGCTTCTAAAGCGTCCTGCTGAGCTGCCAGATCGACTGAACCTGCCGAGGCTGGTACTTGTCTTCTTAGCCTTCTGGCCCTGGCTGGTCGCTTCGCTCCTCTACAATATTTCTTAAGAAGATATGAACCTAATCAATAAAAATATTTCAGAGCTCTTAACCTGACCATTGAAAGCAACAATTTAAACTTTGATTCTTCAGTTAAAAGATACACTCTTTAAAATTTAAATAATTGGATAAACTTGAATAAAATTCATATATCCCAATCAATGCTTGTAGTACAATTCTGCTAATTAGCAGTATCAGAACATATTACAGTGGAGTGTATTATAACTGCATCCATTATTATTTAATTTCTATTTATATATTACATTATGCTTTATAACTGTGAAGTAATTATATTTACAGATTTCCAAATATATATGCATAACGCATAAAGTCCGTAAATAAGGAATCTTAGAAACCTCAACAATATAAGAATGTATGTATCTTATTCATTTTGTGCAATACATTCAGAAAGTAGACCTCAACCATATTTGGTGAAAATTCTAACAAAACAAATAACCCCAACCATATAGGGGTGCAGCAACTTACCAACCATCAACCCCCACCATAGGGGTGTAAAATACGTAAATTCAACCCCGACCATATAGGGGTGCAATATCCTGCTTAAATAATACCCCGAGCATATAGGGGTACAGGATATTGCTTACGTAACTTCAAGCATATATAGATGCAAAATTCTGCTGAGTTCAAACCCCGACCATATAGGGGAGCAGGATATTGCTTAATAAACCCCGACCATATAGGGGTACAGGATCCTGCTTGAATACAACCCCGACCATATAGGGGTGCAGGATATTGCATGAATAAACCCCGACCATATAGGGGTGCAAAAAACCTGCTGTATTCTAAGTAACCCCGACTATATAGGGGTGCAAGATCCTGCTAAAAGTCAACCCCGACCATATAGGGGTGTAAAATCCTGGAAAATAAATCATGTTTAGTTTATGTAAGTTGCTTATCAATAATACACCATATTGGCAAATTCGAATAAAACAATGCCAATCCACAGGGTTGCCATATATTAAGATTGAAATGAGTTTATTTTTATATAGCATAATAATATACTAAAGACTGCATCAATCGCCAGTGAGCATTTAAATCAAATGAACGTAGTAGAATGTATTATAATTAGACTAAATATAAATGTTAGTAGTATAAGGGGCCTGGATAGGACCGCATTCTGATTGGCTGAGAGAATCACGTGATCAAAAAGGGTGGATTCTGATTGGCTGAACCCTAACCCTAGCCCTAACCTAACCCTAACCCTAACCCTAACCCTACCCCTACTAACCCTAATCCCCTAATCCTAACCCTATCCCTAGCCCCTTACCCTAACCCTAGCCCTAACCCTAACCCTAACCCCTATCCCTAGCCCCTTACCCTAACCCTAACCCAAACCCTACAAACCCTAACCCTAACCCCTAACCCTAACCCTAACCCTACTAACCCTAACCCTACTAACCCTAGCCCTAACCCTACTAACCCTAACCCTAACCCTACTAACCCTACTAACTCTAACCCTAACCCTAGGGGGTCTAGGTGGGTCACTTTCAAGAACAATAAACGATCCATCGTTCGGATCGTCAATCCCCATGATAAATTTTGTTTGGCTAGAGCCATCGTCGTCACTCGATTACACAGTCAGAGACCCGAACATCCAGACCCGGAATGGGAAAAACGTTGGCTCCGTATGCGCAAGGGAGATAAGAAATCCTTGGACCAGAAGAACGAAGCCATAGCCCTCATGGAACAAGCCGGATGTGATATTACTCAAGCTTGTGGATATACTGAGTGGACAAAATTACAACAGGTATTAGCTCCTCAGTATCGTCTGAAAATATTTCAGTTCAAGTCTACTTCCACTAAACTCTGATTAGAGCGCATCTTCAAAGGGTGGGGAGATGGAACTTGTTTGAACATTTTGTTTGTCAACCATCATTACGATGCCATCATATCCATGCCGGGAGTGACGGGGAACCAATATTACTGTGATCATTGCGACGTGGGGTACAGGAATGTCACAGACCATCGGTCCAAGTGCCCTCATCGCTGTACCTTTTGTTTAGGACAACACCCTAATTGTCCCGATGAAGGGATCGAGATTAAATGCCGGGAATGCCAAGGAATGTTTAAGAACAGGACCTGCTACGAAAATCATTGAAGACCTCATAGTAAGAAATCTACCACTACTGTCTGCAATTTAATGGGGCTATGCGAGAAGTGTCAGTCCTGGATGCCTAAGAAATTATTTCCTCATCACAAATGCGGAGATCAGAAACAGTGTAAGATCTGTAAGAAAATCGTCGATACCGATCATCAGTGCTACGTACAACAGAAGCCCAAGAAGAAGACGAAGGGAAAAGGCACCTTAGAGTTTTACATTTATTTCAATTTCGAATGCACTCAGGAATCGGGCATTCACGTTCCTAACCTATGTGTGGCACATCGCGTCTGTCAACATTGCGATGACTTAGACATAGACCAACCCTGTCCTCATTGTCAACACATGGGACCCCGTCAGCACCTATTTCAAGGACCAGAAACCTTAAAGAAGTTTATGGACTGGTTATTACAACCGACTACAGGTAATAAGAATTCCACTTTAGTACACGACGAGGCCATCGTCATCAACTTCAAAGGATACGACGGACAGTTCATTTTGAATCACCTGGTGCATTCCTCTTGCCTGAAACCTAGCTTCATCATGAACGGCAGTAAGATCTTGTACATGGATATATGCGGACTCAAATTCATCGACTCGTATAGTTTCTTAACGTTTCCTTTGGCCAAGATGCCCTCCGCTTTCGGATTGACAGAACTCAAGAAAGGTTATTTCCCTCACTTTTTTAATACGGAACAGAACCAGAATTACGTGGGACCTTATCCACCGGCAGCTTTCTACAAACCCGACGAAATGTCTACCAGTGGACGACAGGCTTTTTTCCAATGGTACGAACAACAGAGGGGAAAATTGTTTGATTTCCAGAAAGAGTTTGTAGGGTATTGTATCTCGGACGTCGACATTTTACGACGATGCTGTGCACAATTTAGAAGCACCCTCAAGAGGTTGGTCAACGTGGACCCTTTCCAGGAATCCATCACGTTTGCCAGTGCTGCTAACTTAGCCTACCGTCGAAATTTCATGCCTAAAGACACCATTGCCATCATTCCGAACCTCGGGTATGAACCGGCACGACAATATTCGGCCAAAGCCTGTCGGTGGCTCACCTGGATGAGTCATCAGAGTGGATGTCACATACGACATGCCAGAAACGGAGGCGAAGTCCCGATCGGAAATTATACCGTCGACGGATACCAGGAAGCGACTCGCACCGTCTACGAATTTTACGGGTGTTATTGGCACGGATGCCCCACTTGCTATCCCAGTTTACAGACGGAAACTCATCCTCACCGG